AACACACATCATGGTAAAATCAATACATTCATCGCTCCGCTCAGAATCTAAAATTTATTATATATCTTAAAATACTCATAAATCACTTTGAAATTAAAACATTATAAAAAGCCTATATGAAATGGCCTAGATAACAATCTTAACAAAAATTTTATAAAAGGTAAATTTACACTAATTTTTAAATTAACAAAGCTAAATATAATCGGCTAAGCGTAAAATTTGCCGTGATATGCACTTTGTAAGACGGAAACAATAAATTTCCGTATGTAGCGTCCTCTTATAAACTATAATGTAAAACGTAATTATATATTATAGGTACCTCATGTGATTTTTCCACATCACGAGCCATGGAAACAAAGAACACTCAAACTACCTACCTATAGGTACCTACTATAGGCAGTAACATGAACGTGTAGGCTACTATTGACCATCAATTTCTCTGAGGTACCTATATGGCTATATCTATATGTAACAAAAATTAAATCAATAGTATACAATACCATATTTATGATGGGTTGTGCAGAAGGATTGTAAGTGTAAAAAATTACGACGAAATAATTTAAATTTTATAGTTTAATTTTTGTATAATTATATAGGTACGCGTTTTCGTTGCTTTTTTCGGGATTGGGACGTGTGGGTCTTACGTGTGTTAAGATTATTTTGCATTCTAGAAGCTCATTTTTTGCATTGTTACGACATTCCGTCAGTAAATATTTCACCGTAAGCGTTAGGTTTGCCGTAAATTTCACATAAAGGTGGATCTTCCATCAAAATTAAATTAAATATTATGTTAAATCTGTAGTTCTTGGTAGTCTTTCCTAACGGAAGCCAGGTGATAGGGGAATACCTAAAAAATATTTTTTCTTTATCACGATTTTTTTTTAAACATGTTTATAATATATTATGAAGTTATCTTGTTTTACTAAGAACAAATCTCAGTTTGTTAAATGCATTGTTGTTTTGATCTGGTAAAAAAAGTTACCAGTGTTTAATAGACCGTTAAAAAGTTTGGTTTGATGCTGAAGATAGATTGCGTAACACCTGCAAAAATTGTAGCCACATGTTTACCACATAGGTATATTATATATTCATCACACATATAAATATATAATAATATAATCTTAGTATAAACGGTAGAAGAAGAGTGATGAGATCGTATGTGAGTCCTGTAAGAACGTCAAAAGAATTCTGGAAGCTATCAAATAAATAATAAAACAAAATATGATGTACTTACATAACCGTGAATAGACATTTCAAATTCCGAAAGGTCAGTGAAATAATGTTTTTTAGAAAAAGGTTAAAGAATATAACACTTTTGTTCATATTTTCAACAAGTTAGCACTGCGAAAATGCTGAATTCGTGGTTTCCAAGTGTTTTTTTTTTTTAATATTATACAATGCAATCAACCACAATTCAATAGGTAGTAGGTACTTACACGTTTTAACAACCAATTATTTTTGTAGCCACTTTTGAATACTGGCTAGTATGAAATATGAATCTATATTAAATACTCATACATTTATATTTTAAAAATAGCTATAATATATATGAATTATTAAACTATTTATTTGTTCAACTTTATTAATATACTTTTAGCTATAGTAGCTATTAAAATATTTATATTAAGACTATAATTAAATGTGTTTAGAAGATTTTAGATTTCTAAACATACCTACGTCATATACCCCCGCTGTGTTCAACCGTCATGAACTATGAATTATGAATACTAATATTATCAAGGTTGGGCAAGATACTCAAAAAGGAGCGTTRAGATACTAGATACAAGATGCTTTCTTTGGAGTATCGCGATACTAGATACTCGAAGCTTGGCTTTGGAATATCGCGATGCGATACTAGATACTGATACATTTTAATAAAATTAGTCACTGGATTTTTAAAAATTATGGGGATGGGTACTTCATTAAGTAATAAGAATAACAAATAAAATAATAAAAACTGACACTTATTCAGTAATAATAATACATTAGTAATAAAACAAAATAAAACAAATCAATCGTGTTCATTACCTACTTTATCGTGAAAGGTACACTATAACGTAGTAACTGTTATAGGTACATCATTATACAAAATTATGGATACCTAATAAGGTACAGACGTAAAGTCCAATTCAATATGCGTGTGTCTCAGATATAATATATATATATATATATTATATACAATATGCATCACATTATATAACTTTATTTTATGATTTATCGATACTGGGTTGAAAAATTATATCTAATAACCTACAATATTAAATAAAAATATTAATTTCTGGATCATTAATTATTATTATTATTATTATTCCTTATTAATTATTATTTTGATAATAAAACCAGAAATGTATTGTATCTTGTATCGCATCATAAATTATTTTATGTAATACTAGATACATTGACGTAGGCGCAACTAGAGACCAAACACTGGGGGTGCTAGAATTATGTAGATGAAACAGACCCGTGGGGGCTACGCCCCCCACACCCCAAATACCATACTTCAATTTTATAATTACTATAAGCGATCTTAAATGCATTATAAAAACATAAGCACACTAATATTTACCTCATAAATACATTAGGTATATTACCTATATTATTATTTAGGTGATTCAAATAATGACCTAGTATAAACAGATAAATAATATTTTTCTTTTATTAGAGGAATTGGAATATATTTCCAATATTTCTGAAGAAGTAATTTTATTGAGAACATCTCTTTCAATATTTAAACAACCTTACGTAAAACAAAAAAAAACTTTTTCATATAATTTTTCCATTTTTGGTGTTTTTGATCTGGGGGWGCTAAATTAAAGGCTGGGGGTGMTTTTGACTAAAAATGTCTAACCTATTTACAACATTTATTTATATATAAATTTAAAATTACACTTTGTGATTTTTAGTRAAACTATTACGACTATGTTCTAAAATAGATWAGATGCTTATTTAATTATAATAACAAATAGTGAATATTTTTTGATTTTCTGAATTATCTGGATTTGAAGTTTAAACRTGGCKGCCGAGTCTGCTAACATATAACCATATGATGGAACCAACTTTATCTTTGGTTAATATGTTAAACGCAAAATAACATTACCTATTTAAAAAAACAATAGCTTAACGACAAAATTAGTTGTGTTGCAATGTTGCGCATCAATTAATACTAAAAATAGTGAATAAAAAAATAGTATTTTGAAAGTTAAAAGTTTATAAAAAGACAAAAAGTATATCTATGGAAGCATAAAAATACATTGAGAGCATACGGGGACGCAGAGTTAGTACATGGTAACATATAAGATACATTTCAAATAGCTAACATGTATGACTTAAAATCATAAAAATTAAAAAATATAAATCCTGCTTTATTAACTCATGATAACATCAATTAAAAGCTCAAAACAATTCACATAATAATATTATAACGTGCACATTATGTATGCGAGTAATAAAATAAATTTAATAAATTCGTCCAATTTGACATAATCAATGCCTACAGGTCTTTGGCTTCTTGCCGGTGCTCGAGTTCAATAAATAATCAGCGGAGTCATCTATTCCAGCGGTGATGTTTCGAAGTTCTCCTATATATCGCTTATCCATTTGTCGTTTGGAATTGTTAATTATTTTCTTTATGCAGAAAATCAGTGCAAATACGCATATTAATAGGGACGAAATACCACAGATGACGTATTGTGGACTCAGTAACCGAACGATCGCATAATACTGTTTGTGTCTCCTGTGAATTACAGTCCKCCTTTTGCCGATTGTTATCGCGATTTCTAGAACATCAGCAACTGACTTGTCAGACGGCGACTGGCATTCGATGGAATTCTCGGTGACGTTGGTCACAATGAACCTCTCGTCATCTTCCATCTCATCGTCATAGAATTTGACTTCGAGCATGTAGCTTCTATCAACTCGGTGATGCTGCAACAGGTCCGGAAACACGCCGTCTACTCGGACGACGGTTCGATCGTACACTTCGAAGTCTGTGTAAACCGGGTCGGGATAGAGCAAGTAACGGTACAATTCCGACTGTTGTGGCAAGTACACGACTTTACCAGCCAAATCTACACGAAACCCGAGTGGAAGACTCGTCATCTGAACCGGATCGTCAAGTTTCGGAGGCCAACAGACCATCAGGCTAGTGTTACGCAGCGCACAGTGGCCATAGTACCTTGTCTCGTTGTAGTCTATGTACATCTGATGGTTATTCGTGCACTGAAAACTACCCTGGACGGTCAACGGGATATCGCCAGATGTGACGCCTTCGAAGATTTGACCATCTAGGACGGTTGGATCGGAGACGAATGTGACTTTTTTACTATCTTTGTAGAACTTACCAAACCAACTTTCGAACGAGATTTGCAACTTTCCTGATATGGATCCTTCAGTTTTGGCGGTCGTCACGCAGCTGATGCGGTCGTGCGCGAGCTCAACGATATCGCATATCGCTTTCTCCTTCATATTATTAAAGAACACCTGCAAGTCGGTCGTTGTATTCAGATACTGGCCGAACAGTTCTATCCGACCTCCACCCGAAGCTGGCAAGCACGTCGGGCTAACGCTCATAAAGCTCGGTTCGACGAACCTGAATTTTCGCGCCGACTCCAGCCTTTCCACACTCTTCATCCACTCGTACTCAATAACCACCGGACCCTCGTTCACCACTCTATTTGTACGAATGTTGCAATTAACCGTCTGGCCATCGAACGTGGCAAGATTGTCACAACTCTTTCCGGCTACGGTCACTTTCATCAAATGGCCATTGGCCAAAATCCAGTGCAGGTTCTTGACCGTTATGGCGATGACCGTCGGCATTTCGCGACTAAAAAGAATTTCTTCTGGTTTGAAAGACTCGATCACCACGTCAGRACTTCTAACTCCTACCATCGATGGCGGCTCGGGGTCCTTCCATTTATCGTTGTTAATCTTGTTCCGTATGTCGCAACTGTTCAGTTGTTCACCTGTTATTTTGCAATCATCGTTTTTTAAACACCATTTGCAGTAATATTTTCTCGAATCGCTTTCCCAAAAACGGGTTGTACAATTTTCGTTCGGGCAGGTCCAACCGTGATAACTGATGTAATGGTCTCGAGGATCGTTGAATTGCAACCGTACATTATTGACAATGATTGAAAAATAAGAAATAAATAAAGGATTGGTTCCATTTATATTTTGTTTTTCGGGAAATATAATTTTGTTGTCCACCTGTTTACAAATAATCACTCCATTATTGACTGAGGCGTTATACGTTGCATTTTCTATTTCACAACAGATATTCGCACTTTCATAAAAAAAATTTTTTACACTTTTTACTACGATATTCGAGACTGTAACTTGTACCAAAGAACGATTATATGCCACAGCAAACTCTGGGCATGATTGTTTTGTATCAACTATGGACTCCCCTGATAGACTTTGATTTGAGTAAATACATATTTGTTTTTCGACCAGCCAACTGCAAATAGATACATCATTACATTGTGTGCATGACCTATAAATCATGCAGTTGTTTTCTTGACTTGATCTATCTTCCGTTAAATGTATACTGTTCGCGATAATTTCCACACTTGAAGTCAACTGAAAAAAAATATGTATACATGTATTATATACTTAAYACATTTTATATACATGATGCAATATTTTCAAAATATATTGACTCATTTTAATCTATTTATTTACCTAACTTGAACCAATTACACCGTTGTATATGATACTTCAATACGAGTATTTACGTACCTAGTTAATAAGTAATAATAAGGAAAAAGATTTTATAACTACAACTATTATCCTTAGCGTTTTTGTCTTTTGATAAGTTCAATACTATTACCTACTTTATATTTTTAATTAGTTATAATTGTTTTGAAATTCAGTGTTACTTCAATCAATCAAATATCAATATATTTATTCCAAATTAGATATAAATAGATGTTATGAAAATTATATATTATTGTATATAATATAAGATTAAAGATACGTGTTACAAGAGCATTAATAGTTATTATTATTATTATTAGGTAAATAAAAAACATAGCCACGCTCAAAACTTATTAACAAATTTACAAAAAAATTGTCTGAATGAAATTATATCATAAAATGTAAATAGCATTAATATACCATATTATAGTTATATAGAAGTAAATGATGAATTATAATTAAAGTTGTCAAAATGTAACCTACCAGTAAACTTGCGAATAAGAATCGGTTAATAGAGAAATGGTTCCAATTGTATTCCTGTGGAGTTATGTAACGTCTGAGGGCAAACATGATGGTATTGAAATTCTGTACGTTCTTCTGAAAATAAAATAAATAATTGTCTTAAGAAGTTTATATTTATTTTTATCGTAGTAGGTTATTATAATCAGGAAAAAGTTGTGTTATCAAAATTTTATTTCTATAAAAAGTTTTATTTCAGCCATTTTTTATTTTATTATTTATTTTTTTGTAATAAGTATTTAACTATGAAACTTTGATATTGCACATTTAAATCTACTTAAAATGTACTACCTTTTTTAAATTGGCTAACATATTATGAAGTGTGTTGAGTTAGATTTGTCGAACACAGAGAAAATTGCAATTATTTTATTTTTAATAAACTTTATGTTACACGTGTAAGTTAAGGTACAATACACTCTTATTTTTATAAAGATATACTTTGTTACTTTATTCTTTGAAAGTTGATTCACACAGTGCCGGCGCAAGGTTTTGCGAGGCCCTGGGCAAATAAAAAATGTGGGGCCCTCATTCCTATCTCCTATCTTATACATTACATCCCCCCATTCTAAATTAATTATAGATTTAATTCAAAAGGTAATTTTGTCCATCGATTTAAAAATAAATAATTATTGTACAATAGTTAGGTATGTAAATAAAATCAAAACAATCAATGATAAATGTATTATAATATTATTTGCATAAAAAATAAACTTATCATCTTAATCATTATTATAAAAACTCAAAATACAAATACTATTTATAATTACTTTTACTAAATAATTTATAATAACAACCTACTRTAATAGGTAATAACTAAGTAATTACCTACTTTAATTTATAAAAGAAGTAAAAAATAAATAAATAATGTGCTGAACATTTTATAATATTTTAAATACATAATATATTGTTAAAGTAAAATATATTGTCAATAATTATAAATTATAATTCTTCAATTTWTCTAGCCTTAAACCAACAGTAGCCAAAGAACTAATACGTAGAYTCGTTTCATGATTAGGAAAAAGCTTACAACAAAAACAATAGACGCGATCACACAAAACACTAGGTATATTATATATTAGCTACTGACGATCAATAAACTCACCATTAGACAATTTTCTWGAATAGAAACTATTGGAAAATTGTCTTTCCATTTTATCGATTAAACTATAATAGGATATTTTATGTTAATTTTTCTTTTTGGTCCAAGTTTGACTAAATCAACTCTAATATCGGAACTTATACAATCTGGCCAGTTATAAGGATCTATTAAATCGGTATTTTTAACAGAATTTAAAATAGTTGTCGGATCTAGATTATGCGATATTGACTCTTTACTTTTTTCACTTGAAGGTGGTAAAACAATATCTAAATTTATACATTAAAAACATTTTCTACAACGGTTTGTGGTTAAGATTGGTCTTGTTTTTTTAATATTTGTTTATTATTAGAATTAGAAGTACTACTAGACTGTGGTAATTGAAGAAATCGCGACATTGACCCTCGTTGTTTTTTTACAAATTCTTCTTTTTTAATTCTTTTCCAGTGCCCAGAAGAATAGGAACGAAATTTATCGCGACCGTGACTGTCCATGATAAATTGAATAAGTAACTAAAAATAATGAAATTATTTTACTGATGGCTAAATGTCGATTATTCATAAGTCATAACCTCATAACCTATTTATTACTGACAAAATGTGAATCATTCATATTTTGTTAGTAATAAATAATAACATAAATTGTAACATTGCAGWCGTAAATACTCTTAATCATCGGCTACTTACATTTTTATTTTCTAAACTAACGAAATTATTAAATTATAGTTTTATAATTTGGACTATATTAATTAGTTTTTTACATTATTGCTCRTGTATATATGTATATATATGTATATAATATACTTATAACTATCTGTCGTTTATTTAATTGGTTTCATTATACATTTAAATCATCTCCTAAATAAAAAGATTAGATAAATGTATGCAAGTTAGTTGTAAATAAAATGTCTTTAAGCTGAAATCCTGGAATAAAATTTAAAAAAAAAATCCAATTTCATAACAAAATGTATTAAATATTATGAAAATACTGTTAAATTAATAATCTTTTATAATTGAAATAGTAATTAATTGAATTAACTTTAAACTCAAGTATTAAATACCTATAGGATATAAATAATAAATATATATTTAAGATTTTAATGCAAATTCTTAATTTAAAATAAAAAAATCATAGAAGGATAATAATAATTATATAGGTACTTACTGTAGTATTAAAGTAATTTATTTAGTTTCCATATTATTATTGAAATAAAAACAATTTAGTTTTAATTTTTTCTCTTATTAGTGTACTTTTTCACTTTTTTTATATACAAATACTTTTTTTCAATATTTCGTTATAAATTATCAATTTGTTAAATAATTTAAATGCATTTATGGTGACATATATTTTTTAATAAGACAGAGCATTTTTAATAGGTACACATGGACATTGCAGATGTCGATACATTATACAGAATTACACTTTTTACTTTATTATCATTTATATAGACTTATAGATACAAATTAATCTTGTTAGYATTAGATAATGATTAATGCGAGTCAATTCAAAGACCCCTATTACTGTCACAATTTGTTCTTAATTTTTTTWAAACTAAAATAATTCAATTTAAAAAAGTGCGCGATGACTGGTGAAATACTATRCGTGAATAAAGTGAAACATCTTTAGAGTTTCAAAAATTTCAAAAAAAGTTTATCATTCGTATCAAATAATCAAATGTCAAATGCCAAGTATTAAATTTGTATAGGAAAAATAAAACGAAATTTCCAACTGAAATTGAAATTTATTATTATTATACAAAGTTAAGACAAATGTATTATTATTTATTACCATAGGAACTTTAGTGTCACCTAACTGTCAAGTAAGCTGAGACCATGAATCCGACTTAAGCTACCACGCATAAAGAAGGTTCACTTCGAAATTTAGGTATTTACTTTATTTTATATTTAAAATACTTTTTTTAAATTTGTTTAAATTCTGAACCTTGCTTGTAAGTTATAACTATTTCCTTATTTATTTAATAGGTACTAATACTTTAAATAGTTTTAACAATTCAAAAATTATTACTGTTTGAATTTCTAGAAAAGGTTTTCTTTACACATTTATAATTCCTGAAAAAATATGGCAGTATATTATAAAAAAAGTTATTTTAAATTCACATATAAATAATATCATTGACTCTTTTACAATCATACAAATATTTTGTTCAATATATTGTTTTAACATCGTTACAAAAAATATTTATAATGGAGAAAATTACACTACTTAATTTTGATTTTAACCAATCCGATTGTATTCAATAAAATGTATACATGGCATATCTAAATATCTACTAACCACTGTAAAATGTGACTGTTAGATACTAAATACGAAAAAAGTGACTTTTTTCAATTCAGTTTATAGGGATAAGAGAAAAATATCTTAGAGGTGGAAAATACTAATTGGTCTATCCGTATTAGGGTAAGTAGGTCTATATGGCTTTACGAATAATAATATAATATTTAACTACCTATTCAATAACATACTTAAGCACCAACTCACTTTGTATTCGGAATACGACAGCGACAACTCTGGTGATGGTGGTGGTGGCCCGTCAATAGTGAAGCACCGTGTCGATGACGAMGCTCGGATTTGGAAAACGATTGACTTCACTCTGCAACATATATGTCACTGCACCGCACTTCACGACAACTCGCCGATCGTAATATTATTATTTATTGTTTATTATTGACATTTTATTATTGAACCCGGCTGAACATCAGACTCATAACTGACCCCAMTCATTCATCGGGCCGAGTATGAAYCATCTAATACAATAATAATATCCATAATGAATCCATATTATGAAATTATTGTAATATATTAATATATTATAGACTATGTAGTTAGGAAACGTTAAAACGTCTCGTGAATAGTATGAATGAAAACATTATGGAGCCATACTCTTATTAATTTAATTATGTATAATCACTAATCACACATATATATTATAGAAATTAGAAACGAATACGCTTATTAAAAAACGATAGCAAAAAATTATCAATAAATTCGAAACGGACATGGGTTGAAATTTTATTATAACATACTTCACGCGCCGAACCTAGCGGATAGTAGTACCTAGTGACAGGTATATACTAGCTAACTGACTAGTAACTGCTAATTCAATAACAAGATAATGAAAAACTTCGAAGCACGGCGATAACACAAATATACAAAACATACCTACATACATCATCATAACAATAATAATTAATTCCGTATAAAAATAGAACATAGGTATCTGTTTTAGAAACACCAAGTTAGGTGACACGTATACCACCATCAATAAAGACATAATAAATACACATTTTCCCCAACTAATTTAATCCCAAAACATTTTTTTTTAGTCACTCCTATAAATAGTTCTTTTTTGTGAATATTTCTTGGCCTCTCCACTGGCCGACATAAGCTTAAAATTACAGTTAAAAAACAATTAATATATGTAGGTATAATACAAATATTATCGCAGTGCTAACGGAAATGTCGATAAAAAAGAACCTATGATAGACCATGCAATTATAATATGTTAGATACCCGATGAGGTTATTGGCTTGTTTAATAGTAAATATAATGTGGTGTTAAATCAGATTATACTAAAATATAGTTTATGTAATCTATGGTGTTAATGTTAAACACACAGTATATGTAAGTAGGTACCATAGGCGCAATTTGGGGGGGGGACTTGGAGGGGCTTAGCCCCTCCAATATTAAAATTAGCCCCTTCAAAAATTTATATTTAAATTGAAGTATTCAATCCTTCATTAATTATCCAATATACATAATACAATAACSGTCGTTTCAAAACAAAATTTTCAAAAGTTTAATTCTGGAAACATAAAACAAGCCAATGCAACAACATGATGTTAGACCTTAGTTACCCGCCTTATAACGAGAACAATAAAATTACTGTCTAGTGTCTTATTTGGCGTATGTATATAAACTAATAAACTGTTATCATTATCTTTAACAATTCCAATTAGCTCTGCAACATGTGAAAGATCATTCTCAGCAATGAGAAAGATTAAAAATTGGCTTCAAACATCTTTGAATTGAGATAGATTTACAAATTTGTCATTAATTTATATAGAACGTGATTTATCAAATGAATTGTCCAACGAAAAAATATTAGATACGTTTGCAATTTCTAACCGAAGGTTMCAATTATAATAATATACTTAATAAATAAATATATATTACATTTATTTACCTAAATGTTGTTATTTTTTCATATAAATATTTTTAGCTTTATTAATAGATGCATTATAAGTGGATGAGAAAAAAATGAAATTGCCATCGAGTCCCCTACGGGTCTGTTTCATTTAAGTTTGTTAAGCCCCTCCTAGTTAAAAACTGAAATTGCACCTATGGTAGGTACCTATCTAGGCAGGATAATATGTCAGTACATAAACATAAAACTTAAGTAAAAACTAATTAAAAACTCGAGTTACACTAATAAAACAACATTTTTTTCGAAAACTAGTTTTCAATTTTTAATTTTGAACTCTTAAAAGCACCAACAAGACCAATCAGCTATCAAATACCTATACTACTCATCTCTTAGTTGAAAATCAAATCATTATTTTGATTATCAGCTAATAGCTAAAATTGTGTATACAAGTATAATATGCAACTACATAATAATAATAAAATTAAAACACTTAATTCTAAATTCAATACATCCATCGCTCGGAATCTAAAATTTGTTATATTTAGGCTATAATTCATAAAATAATTGGGAATAAATTTAGAAGTTTATACCACTTACACATAAAAATAAGTATTATACTATTATGATTCATATTGATATCATAAAAACATCAGAATTTAGAGACATTTTATTAGGAGAGAGAAAATAACAATGTTTTATGTAATATTTTTCGATCTATAATATGCCAGTAGGTATATTTAATATTTTTAGTTTATATTATATGGATAGTAATTTAAATACTTAACACATATTAAGCTGAAGTACAGAGCCTATTTATTTGTAGATGGCTTTTTATCATACATACTATTTTTTATACACATATTAATATATTAGGTAGGTATAATGATATTTCGTTCCATCTTAGACTTTTTGATTAAAATGTTTATACTTAAAAAAAAAAAAAAATACTTTATAAATTATTTCAAACATCATTTTATTTGCAACAATAATTATTATATTATAATATTATACCGGCATCGTTTAAGTCACTCGGGTTTATATCTGAGTGGAGTTTCCAATGAYGATTTATTGTATAATTTGAGGAAACCAAATGTACCTATCATGTTTTCAAAAAATTAAAAACAAAGTCCAAAAGCAAAATTGTTTTTAAGATACATACCTTTACCCTTTAGAATAACATAATAATTCTAGGGTGATTTTTATTTTTGACAGCAAATTTACATTGAACCCTATATAATTAAAACCAAAACCAGCGCAGCAAAAGTATAAATATCTTAAAAACCTTAGTAGAAAGTAGAAAGTACATAATATCATAAGTAAACTTATATAGATATTATCTTGTAAGATCTCAATTATTAAACTGTGGAACAGTCTTTTTTACTTATAACAATACWAACCCAATTTTTTTTTAAATATTAATTTATATAATTTTTTTTCATTG